GGATCAGAACTCCAGCCAATGGAGCAGACTGAAATCTGGCCTTAGCAACTGCCATGGAGACGCGCACGCAAACGCAGCCTGAGACGCACTGAACGCCGACCCCAGCGACTCGGAAACGGAGGACTGAGTGAACCAGACATGCCCACGAGACAGAGATGGAGGGAGAGTGATCATGTACAGCTGTGTAAATACACACAATGACCTTCCTGATACGCTAGGAGGACGCGAGACACGGCGTTGAAACCACCAGAGAGGTAGAGTTTCTCGCACACGAGACCAAACGGGAGTGAACGACGACAGGGACGTGCCTGACGTGGAATTCACGGCAGGTGGAGACGCCCACTATACAATGAGCTCCGTCATTATCACAAGTAACTGAGATGTTTGTAGTTTTTCTTATATTAGCAGTATAAATATGCAAAGCCCCTTGGTTTAGTGGCATAGCTGCACGTGTGTTATGAGTCACATGGTTCGTCTGTCTGTTAATCCCCCGGTGCTTTGCTGCTTGACTTGCGTGGGGCGAGGGGCTGGACGGAGGTGGTGTTTCCTTGACATGCTGCAGGTGAGCATGTGCAGTGGGCCTCCACGTCCAGCCAGCCTGTTCCCATGCAGTGTTCTGTTATTTATTTGAATAAGCCCACATCACTTCAGTGAGAATGACAGATAGAGAACCGGAGCGACGCTGGATGTTTGTAAGTGTCCTAAACGTCCAAACACTCAGTCTTAAAGGCCATTACTTAATACGGGAGGCCACTGCGCTGAGGGAACAGAAATAAGGAGCAGAGAATCTCGTTTACACTCCTGCTCTTGAAATGAACGACTGCCTTTCCCCACGTTGATCGGCACTTCCTATTTTTATTTATTTATTTATTTATTTTTTAACAGTGTAGTCACTGCATTGTTGTCGATTGACCAGAAAAGGCTAGAAAAGCCTGGTCACCAATATTTTAATACCAAAAACACACTATTTTTCCCTCGGTGGAGCTTTGAAAAAGAAAAGGTGTTTCTGGTGAATTTGTTCATCTTTTTTTTTTTTTGGAGAAATTAATGGCAAAACTCAGATGTATGCCTGGTTTGCAGTAAAAGGATATAAATGCCATTTGTGATTTCAGAGTATAGACTTTTACTTAGCTCTTTTTAGATAATCTGTGAAAGATGTTTTCTCGGTAAATGCAAGATGAAGCCATGGCTGAACTTTGGATCTCAGATAGCTTTTAGTCAGCATTACACACACACACACACACACACACACACACACGCACACACACACACACACACAACTGGTCTCACGGTGGGTCGTTTCTGTTCATAATGAAAGTGCAATTAGCTGTTGAATGTTCATGAAGGCTTACATGGGACTCTCACCAAACCACCATGACAATCACTGCGTTCTGCCATCGCTTTCTGAGATCTGTGTGCTGTCCAACTGAAGCCTGTGTTTCAATACAGATTAAACAGATTTCACTATTTTCAAATCTTTGCTTTGCCTGTTTCTTGTTTGGTGCTGCCAATTGTCTGTGTGGATTAACTGTGATAACCCAACTCTATGTACTCTCATTAATCCCAGAGTTAGTATTAGAAACCTACTTAGGGCAAATTCGACAGTCTGGATCCATTGTGCTGAGTAACCCTGGTGCCAGAACCATTTTGCCAGACAGACTGTGCATCACATGAGTATGCGTGTGGGGGGGGAGGTGAATGAACATTCATTAAGATTCACTCTCAATAGCCTCCAAGTTAATGTTTGTTTGTAGCAGCCAAGTATTTAGTTTAGTTCACTGTGCAATATTAAGCTCATTTTAATGTCAATTTGGAATGAATTCATCTCATTTCAGCTTTTCATTTATTTACCTTTACAGTATTTACATATGTATTTATTTTTGCTAAACCCACTGCAACATGCCTGGTGCTGTGAAGGTTCGGTTACAGCATACAAGTAGGACCAGACACCTGTGGAGATTGTCCTCATCTGGTTTAAGTGACACAAAGTGTCTTGTAAACGTTTTAATCCCCCATGCAGTTCAGCCATAGCTACTCTGAAATCTACGTGAAGATCTTTTTTGCAATTCAGTATGTTTGACATTTTCATTGCATTTCATGGATCCTGCCTCTCTGGACAGTGTTACTCAGATGTTTGGACATCTCTCCTGATTCTGTGCTGGGTCAGCTGACCCAGAACACACCCGATATTGAAAGATGGTTTAGTCCAGACTCCCGACCGCGAATGCTGTGCAAGCGTGCTGCAGGGATGATCTGTTTGCTGAGGACGTGTTTTCTCGCTGGTTTTTAGGCTGATTAATGACTCAATTCAAACACACCTATGAGTGGCCACTTTACACTGGGGGTGGGACTGAAAGACGTACAACATGGCCAGCTGCCCCCCCCCCCCCCCCACATGAAGCTGATTCTACTTAAATGACTCCATCAGGCTGATGAATGATCTGTATCCTCAAAACCTCACCACATTTAAAAAAATAGAAGAGGAAACTATATATCTAATAAATATCATATTAATATATTCATAATTGAATGAGGGAAAATGATCTCACCTCAGGGTCCACGATGATGCCCCTGTAATTCTCCCGCACCTTCTCTTCTTCTCACAAACTCCCTGAATAACAAGTGTTGTGCTCTAAACTGCCCCCCTGCCACGGATTGCCTCCCCTGACGGTATCGCTACAGTGAATAGTGAAAATTTGCTTCTGATTATTTTTGGTGTTTGGTTCAATGTCATTTCATTTTTAGGTGTGATGGTGCCGAGTTTGAAGCTAATCGCCACATTATAGGTATGAATAGGAGGCAGAATAGGAGAAATATTGAAGCAGAATGACTACAACAAAGTATCAAACATGAGATAGATAGATAGATAGATAGATGGATGGATGATAGATTGATTGATTGATTGATCACTTTGTTAATCCCCGGAGGGAAATTCAGTTGTCACAGCAGCCAGGTACATTTAAAGGTACATTATTCAAGATGTCGAATCGCTTCTTGCAACTGAAGGTAACTATTTGCACAAACGAACGTCGAAGATAAAAGCATTACTGTCGCATTTGAATGAAAATGTAGTAACTTGAAATTGCAACGTTTCACAGGAGGTTATTAATCTTCACTAAAGGTTTGATTGTCACATTCCATAATAAATAATTCATGTGAGTATTTTTTTTTTTACGTATTTCTGCTTAAGGCAAGAAAAATGAAGTTACAGAGAGCGGTTGCTTCTGCTGCACAGGGAAAGCAAAGCGACTTTGCCTTTAAAAGGAGTGATTATGTGAGGGGAGGCAATCTGTGGCAGGGGGCAGTTTAGAGCACAACACCTGCTTGGCACCATTCACGACTAGGGCCCCTCCCACTTGGGGCTCTATAAGACAGAACTTGCACGTTCCGTCACACTTTTTCGCTGAAGCCTTAGAACCTTCTCTCCACCGGTCACCATGACGTTTATGCCCCCACAGGGTTACCAGTCTGTCTGCAACCTTGTGAGTGTAACCTCCGCTCTCTCAGCGCTGCTCAAAACGGATCTGAAAATCCAAAAAGTTCTTCTGGCATATAGCATTCCTAGAGCCTGGATATCTTACAGAGGCTTGTCATGTTTAAGTACGTCTGCCATCAATGTTTCCTCTGTGTGGCTCTTGTTTTGGATTGTATCTGTATCCTTCACAGTGCATCCCCTATCTGGGCCCTATCAATGGAGGACTGAGGCCAGGAATGTCCATCTACATGCAGGGGCATCTCCCTCATCACATGAAAAGGTGAGATCGCAGGTGGCGGTGCTGGGGGGGAGGCTATATGAGTGCTGCCATTTTCAGTGTTTATCTCAGGTTCCACACCTGATGGAAAAAGAGGTGCGCAGAGTTTCCTACAGATGGACAGAGCTGTGTGGTCAGGGCTGATCTCAGACCTGCTAATACTAAGTTCACACCACACGACTATTACAGTCGACAGAATGCTGTACTTTTCACGCTACAGGACTTGAAGTCATTGTGATTTACGCACTACATGACTGATCAGTGACAGGCAGTCACACCCTATAAGATCTTTCACCAGGAAGAATTGCCGTAGTAGCACGTGGCTGTTGAAAATAATTGGTCATTTCCGTCCAGCTCTTTCTCAGCTCAGGTCGTCGGAAGCGTCAGAAAGGCATTGGTGTTCTTGCTAAAGTTTTAACCAAACTTTTTTTCCCTTTCATGGCTCCAAACAGACGGTGGAGCTTTTACTGCTGCCATCTTTGTTGATCTGATGGCTTTGAAAGTTGTGTAGTGTACTTAGGGTGTGGCTCTTCCGGGTTTGCCCTCTATCTAGCTGCACCTTATCGCCAGACTCATTGCCAGTGGCAACGTCAAGGTTTGACCTCACAAAGGGTAGGGCTTATTATTATTACTCTTGGCCAATAACCTTTCAGAGGAGCTATGGAGGCGTAATCCCACTGTTATCAAGGATGTTTAACCTGTGTTTCAGACAGGTCTCCACCCATTCATGACTAAAGTTCCACCCATTCATAAGAAATTATGCAATTTCAGTAATTAGTGTATCTGGCTATTTGAACATAAATATTGTGTCTCCTGTGAATCACCAAATAAATATTATGTAACCCAGTGGACCATTTGTCCCCCCCAGTCATTCTCCTGACTTACTGGCTCCTTGTTGCCCCCTATAGGTTTTTCTGCAATTTGCAGTGTGGGGAGATGGAGGGCTCTGACATCGCCTTACACATAAACCCTCGATTCGATGGATGGGACAAGGTGGTCTTCAACAGCTTTCAGAGTGGGACATGGCAAGAGGAGAAGATCGTCCATATGATGCCATTTCACAAGGGGAAGGCCTTTGAACTGATCATCATCGTGAACACTGAGGGATACCAGGTCAGCCTGGATTGTGTGTGTATGTGAGTCAACAGTCTGCCACAGCTTGTTGACATTCTAAGGAAGAAAACTAAGCCCTAAGTTTGGCTCTGGCTCCTGCAGGTGAACATTAATGGCTCCGAGTTCTACTTCTTCTACCATCGCTTGCCTGTTGAGATGGTGTGTTTCCTGAACATTGGAGAAGAGGTCACCATCCAGACACTCAACATCATTGGGGTGAGTGGCAATCAAGACCTTGGTGAGTCAGCCTGGCCATTGCAGGGTCTCACTGGGACAACATCCTGTGTGAACTCCCAGCAGATGTTCCATATTCCCCAACACATGCTCATACAGCAGAGTAACATGATGGAGTCCATTGAGTAACAGAAAGTGGCTCAGCACCGCCCCCCACTGGTCATCATTCTTCTCTGCTAGTTGCTGACTATACTTTTTTTGTATCACTACTCAGGGAGGTGTACAGGGATTTCCTGGAGGAATGGGGGTGAGTTCTACTTCAGTGGTATGTTACTGTGGGTGTATAAATGTCATGCTTGCAAGCACAACCTCCTACATGCATATTGTTGCAGATGTGCATTTTCTACATATATGTTAATATCACATTTGTCCTTTTCAGGGGGGGTACCCAGCCGGAGGAATGGGGGTACGTCACATGTAGTGATTTGCCATTGACATGTTTGTGCCTGTGTATGTGTCAAACAAGCACCATCTTCCCTTCTCATTTTAACCAGGGGGTGTACCCAGCTGGAGGAATGGGCGGTATGGGGGTAAGCATCTCCTTCCCTGTGGACTCTCTGTCCCCTGGGCTGTGATTTCCACCCCTCAGTGAGTGTGGGAACCTGCTTCTTACACTGTGTGTTTCTGCTCTACCCCTGGTGGGTATGCCAGGCCTCCCAGGGATGGGAGTAAGTATGTCTGCTTTCTGTTCTCGTAGCTCAACAGGTAGAGCATTGTGCCAACAATGCAAAGGTTGTAGGTTCAATTCCCAGCAATTACATGTAACCCTTCCCTCTATTGTAAGTCACTTTGGATAAAATGTGTGATAAATGAATAACTGAATGTGTGTGTGTTGGCTTTGCTGATACCGCAGGCGTCTGTGTGATTTAACGTCAGTGCTGAATTGCTTCATGACCTGTTAGCCACATTAACTGATATGGCGCTACTGTGTTTGCTTTTGTCACAGGGGCAGATGGGCTACCCTGGAGGCAACCTGCCGGTGAGTGAGTGAGTGAGTGAGTGATGGGACGGTAGGCAGCAGGGGCGATTTATGTCATTTATTTAAACTTTATTTTACCAGGTAAATTAACTGAAAACCAGTTCTCACTGCTTTACGTGATATTCGGGAGAAATAGCAGATTATGCATCGAAACTGCCTGGGATACAACTGTCATGCGTGTATCTAAACTCTTCAGCCAATAAGGGCAAAGGTGTGTCGTCACGGAGGCGATTCCAGTCTGTGCAGCCGGGTGAGAGGTCACAATGCATCTAACCGTAATGCATTGCGTCAGGTTCAGAATGCGTTGCTTTAAGCCAGCGCTGTAAGCAAGTCGAACAAGAGGGTCTAGCTGCAGACGCCTGTAGAGTGGAGCTCCACTGGAAATACGTCACCTCCACAGGAAACACGTGATCTTTAAGGATGTAAAGTGGAGCTCCGGTTAGGATTAGGGTTAGGGTTAGGGTTTATTCGCTGTGACACAGAGTTGAGGCCACGTGTTTCCTGTGGAAGTGACGTATTTCCAGTGGAGCTCCACTCTACAGGCGTCTGCAGCTGGACCCTTCTCAAGTCGAACGCACCCAATGACCGGACTGGGGAAACAAACCGAAACGCGGACTTAATACAGAGGACTAATGACAACAACCAGAAACAGCTGATGACATGGGGATCCCACACAAGGTTAATGAGGGGGCGTGGCACACGGAAGGAGCCGACGATTGGGGCAGGACAGAGGTAATGTTGGGATAAGACCTTTATCGTTTTGAAAGCCATTAAGAAAAAAATGCTCTTCTTATTTCATCCTGTTCATTTTGTGTTTAAATGCTAAAAAAAAAAAAAACATATTTAGGTGTAATTTTGGGGGGCCGGGAACCAATTAATTGGTTTTCCATTATTTCTTATGGGAAAAAGGATTCGATCCGGAGTCCGGAACGGATTAAGTTAGAGAACCGAGGTACCACTGTACTGTTTAAATAAGTTGATTATAGTAAACAAGTAGTCCCCTTACAGTGTTCATTTTGGGTCTTTTGGGTGACAACATACGGAAAAATGAAAACTACGCTAATTCTTTTTGTTTTACTTTACTGTACTTTACTCTGATAAACCTACTTTTCCTTGCGGTAACCCATCTGCTTCTGCTAGCTACCCGAGGCTAATGCTGCGTGCACAGAAAATATGATGGGAAAAAGAAAGTCGTTTTCTCTAAACGACAAATACCGACCCTCCGAAGCTAGCAAAAGCTAGCCACGAGATGCAGCAGCGAAACTACAATAAGCTATATTGTATGTGCAATATTTTACTGTATTGAAGCACCGAGCAAACCGAGGTATCGCGGCGCGGCGAATGAAAACGACGAGAGGGCACAACACGAAAGGCATGAATGACAGGAAAACACAGCGAAGTTACAGTACACACGAGGCGGGTAATTACACGATGGCTTAGAACCATAGTTAAAGGTACATGCGACAAAGCACAACAAATACCTATACAAAATACAAACATGGGATATAAAGCTCTTGCGAAGCATGCCGGGACATGCAGATGCCGCCGGTGCTACAGTATTATAGCGTATTGGAATTATATATTGGAATTATATATTGGAATTATATATAGTTCAGTACTGTAATTTGAAAGCGTCTGAAATAGCTGTACCATATTTTGGAATGCGGTCTAATTTTCCAGGACTTTGTTTTTTATTTAACAACATTTACCTTGGTCTATTTCAGATGATGGGGGATATGCCAGTCTATAACCCGGTAAGTGATGCGTAAGTGACACTGGTGTGAATGTTGGTCAGCGCAGAGCCCCTGTGGTCAGGGTCCCACTGGCTGTGTGTGAACCTGACGGGACCCGTTTTCCCTGAGCTGGAGGCTACAGGCTGAGGCCTTGTCTGCTCTGTGTTCAGTCTGTCCCATACTTAGACTTCATTCCAGCTGGCATGACCCCCAAACGGACCATCATCATCAGAGGCATGGTGCCCTATGGAGCCAATAGGTATGTCTCTTAATTTGTTTCTTTTTTTTTCCTTTTGCTTTGTGCTCTTTCTTTAAAAGCAACTTTATTGGCACTTGCACAAATCTGTATACAGTCTAAACTGCTTTCCTGCTTATCTAGCCTTATGTATGTGTGTTTGTGTGTGTGTGTGTATGAGCGTGGGTTATGTATGTGTTACATTGTGGGGACCATTTGTTTCAATCCCCAGAAGGGGAAACTTAATTTTATAAAAATCTATGACTGCAACCAAAACACTAAAAACACCGTAAGTCTTTGTATTTTGTTTGGTTAAGGTTATCCTGATTGAGATCAGGGTTTTTCCCATTTTCCCAAAGAAATTCATGCAGAGTCCCCACAAAGATATAGATATCAAATTTGTGTTTGTGGTGCAGGTTCACTATTAACTTCAAGGTGGCTGGGTCTGATGACATCGCCTTCCACCTGACCCCCCGAGTGATGGAGGGGGTGGTGATGCGAAACAGCTACCTGGAGGGCTATTGGGGGGAGGAGGAGAATGATATCAATTTCTGCCCCTTCCAGGAGGGACAGTACTTTGAAGTAAGCCCGACCTGCCGCCCCCCTTCCACCTCTCGATTCCGTGCTCATATTTGATATCTCCTTGACAACTGTCTCACCATCCTATGCTGAGGTTTGGTGACACACACTGATGACGAGGGAGCCTGTATTGCACTGAACTATCAAACAAAACTGCACGATTCTCAGACCAACCCCAGCAGTGAGTCTTACTGAGTTCCCCGTCTGTTTCTCTCTGTCCCTGCTCGGTACCCTGTCTGTCTCAGATCTCCATACGATGCGGGAATCGGCGTTACAAGGTCTATGTGAATGGACAGCACCTGTGCAATTTCAGGCACCGCATCCATCCATTTGGAAAGGTTGACCGGCTGGAGATCATTGGGGAAGTGCAGCTCTCCTACATCCACTTCTGAGATTGAAACACTGCCCCCTGCTGGTTGGACATCCCTTCTCATGGCCCCAATGCTCTTGTCAATGCCTTGAGTGATGCTTCTGTCTGTCATCTACCAAAGTATTGGTTACACTAATTATACAACCTGAATAAACCTTGAAGAATGTCTGGCTTTCTTACTGCGTACGCATGGAGCTCCTAAACAACACACTAAAGTTTATCCCACACACTCCTGAGTTTGTCACACTTAAATGGTTTATTTAATAGAAAAATAGATAATAGATTCTTCAAATGTAAAAATCTCCATAAAAAGTAACATCAGCTGAATTCTTCTCTCTCCCAGTCCGATGGAAGAATTAACACCAAATATGGACATTGTATGGTGGTGCAGTGGTTAGCACTGTTGCCTCACAGGGTTCAAGTCTCTGCCTGAGTTACATGTGTGTGGAGTTTGCATGTTCTCCCCATGTCATCGTGGGGTTTCCTCTGGGTGCTCTGGTTTCCCCCCACAGTCCAAAGACATGGTGGGGCTAATTGGAGTTGCTAAATTTCCCATGGGTGTGAATGGTGTGTCAGTGTGCCCTGCAATGGGCTGGCCCCCCATCCTGGGTTGCTCCCCACCTCCTGCCCATAGCTTCCAGGATAGGCTCCAGACCCCCCGCAACCCAGAAGGATAAGAAGTTTGGACAATGGATGGATGGACATTAATTAAGCTGGTATATCAAACCTAAGTCCTGGCTTTCAGAAGGGACACTTAGAAAATATTTAAGTCCATTTAAATAGTAGAAAGTCCTCCATTATAGGTGAAGATCTGCATGCCAACCACAGCCATTTTTTCAACACCTGCTTGAGGATGATAATGTCTACATTGTCATGTGTATGTACAAATTATATAAAAATATTAAATACTGAACCAGGTACCAGTCATGGTAAAAATACAAATACTAAATAATCCTAGTCTGTGATTCACATGAACACAATGATACAAAGACAAACCATAAAAAAGGAATTTTGCAGGTTGATGTACTTGCAGATAACATGGTACCCATGTCATTCTGTTCTCTGGCATCAGCTTTTTCGCACATGGAAAGAGGTGTTATTTTTGGACTGTCAATCAAACACACCTAATGTGCTGAAAAGATCTGGAAACTTGTGGCTAAATCCTCCATTTTTATCAGAAAAATCCTTTAAAAATGCTCAGCAAGTATTGAAATCAAGCTTTGACTAAGGACGGTCACTAATCTGGAATTAGGGGTCAGGGGATATTCACACACAGGATGAAGGTCATCACATTGGCATGCGGAATGGGGTCTTTTTAGCAACATTTTGACTGGATGTTTTTTTATGATTTACTTAATGTGATGAACGTGACGACGTGGGGGGGTTGCGTGAGAGAGAAAAACATGGAGCTCATGTGCCTTGAGGAGAAGGTCAGTGACCGAAGACACCCGTGCTCCATAAAGTGCCACCCTGTAATAATCTGAGGCATGTCTCCGGATGATTTCCACCTGTTCGGCCTCGGGTGGAGGGGAACGCAACCGTCTAAATTCTCCCACCATCCAAGCCACAAAAGTAGGCAGAGTCTCACCAGGTTGCTGCACCCTGTCTAGGATACCTCTTAAAA